TATTTTGGATTGAAAATAGTATTAGTGCAATTTGCCATACAATATAGATACAAGCTGATGCATTTTGTGTTCTTCATATACGTTTTATTCATTGTCTTTCCATGTTTTTCTCAAGCGTGATCTGAAACGATTGTCGCGCTTCCCGCCATTAACTCAACTCGTTCGAACATGTTGAACAGGCTTTATTGCCAAACAAGCCACTTCATTCGATCCAGGGTCGTTTCACTGATTCATATTTATACTTGCATGTTTACAAATGAGGAGAGGCCTCATCTTCTCATTTGCCGTGTTTCATTTCCCTGATAGATAGATAGATAGATAGCTATAGATATATATATACATATATACACACATATATAAGTGTTTGTGTGCTTATACATACACACATATATACATATACACATAAGCTTTCCTTGGACGAGGCCTTCCCGGCAGCGCGACCCGCGACCGCGCCCGCCCTCCCGCCGCGCAGCCGTTAGAACCCGACGAGCCGCGCCAAGACGAGGTCGTGCGCCCGTTTCCTCCCGCGCGTTGCCGTTGATCGGGTCTAGCGAGCTGCAAGTCGCTGAGGCTGTGAAGGGAGAGTGAGCGATCTTTCAGGTGTATGTCTTGCTCTATGAACTCCAGCGTGTGGATTTTAATATTTGTCTGTGACGTAGTTATAACTTGGTAAGTATTTTTTTTCTGGGAAAAACTGTTTCTGATTAGAGTGATCATGTCAATGGAAGTGATGATGTAGTGGTAATAAAGATATTTATAATTATTATGTTGGTAATAAAATAATGATGATGTCAATAATTAGGATGATAAAAGTAACGCCGTGGATATTGTTCCGGCACCGGATTTTATAACATTTTGGCTATTCGTCCGGCATACACGCGCTTGCGCACAGTCATTAATTCTGTCTTTGTCATTTCACGCACATCATCAAAAATTTTTAATTATTAGGACCGAGTGGACATACATGCTAAGTTTGCTACAGTTTGACATTTCTTTGCTTTTCATCCCTATTCTGTGATTATATCGTGCCTATACGAAGTCACCGACTCCCACCCAAGGTCTATATAAGTACTTATGTAGACCTTGCTCCCACCAACAATGTTGGGGATCCCGTGGGGAATCGGGGTTGGGGGGAGGGGGGGATTTCGTTCATGCCATGCATTTTAAAAACAAAAGAATGTGGGAAATTGAAAATCCGATCCAATGATAGTATTTCAGATGATAAAAAGGTTCGGCCACGGATGATTCGACACGGTGTTGCAGGAACGAACGAGCGAGTAAACCGTATCTTAAACGCACGAACTACCAGTGGGATCGCCGTATGAACCCAAAATCCCTCCTAACCCGGGCGCTACGCCCCCAGACTCCCTCCCGATTGCCGTATTTCCCGATGAAGGCAAACACTAAGTAGTACTTCAACTCTGGCTTCACTTTCTTATCCGGAGTACGCTTCAAAGCTGCAGCAACAGTCCTTGAATCTTTGACCTAAAACTGTGCGAAAGTGCTCTCTTGAAATTTGGTCAAGGTGTCCTTCACATCAGCAAAACTGGCAAATTCAGTTCCAACTTTGAAGGAATCCATAATCGATGATCGACCCTTAGCCATGAACAATGAACAACACAAAAATAGCGCCAAAGTGTGTATGCAAGGCTAATGCGCAAGCACGAGTGTGTATTTGCGCGCAAATAGTTAGTGCGCGTGTATGCCGGACGAATAGCCAGACTTATAAAATCCGGTGCCGGAACAATATCCACGGGGTAAAAGTAACGGTAGCAATAATAAGGATTATTATTATCACTTCTATTACTATGATTACCATTACTATTATTATTGTCACTTATTATTATTATTGTTATTATTATTATCATCATCGTTATTAATTTGTTATTGTTATCACTATCATTATTATTATTATTATTATTATTATTATTATTATTATTGGCATTTTTGTTATAATTATATCATAGTTGCTATTATCATTATCATAATTGCTAGTATTATTGCTATTATCATTATCATTATCACTGTTATTATCATGATAGTGATAATGATAACTAATGATAACGATGTGAGCAACAAGAAAACAATAATAATGGTAACAATGTTAACATTATCCATAGTGATAGTGATAATGTTAACAATGACAATAATAGTAACAATAATGATAATAATGGATGACAATAATAAAAGCAAATAACAGTTATGACGACAGTGATACCATTAACAGTAATAATAATAATGATGATAAAAGTAATAATAATGATAATGGTGATGATAAAAATGGTAATGGTAGTAATGATATTGATAATAATGATAATGGTAAAGATATTAGTAGTGATAGCAATAATGATAATAATAATGATGATAATAAAAATAGTAATTATGATGATGAGATAGAGGAAGATAATAATACTAACAGTAAGAAGGGGAAGAAGAAATATTATTAGAGGAATACTACAATTACTAATACTTCCACTGCTGCTGATGATAATGATAATAATAATGATAATTATAATAATAACATTACCAATAAGAATGATAATAACAATGATATTAATAAAAGTGACAAGGATAAGAGTAACGTTGATGATAGTAATGATAATAATAATAATAAATAATAATATTATAACAATAATTTTAATAACACTAATGATGACAATAATGGTAGTAATAATAGTAGTAGTAATAATAATAATAACTATAATGGTAATACTAATAAAAGTAATAATGATAATGATGCTAATAGTAAATATAATGAAGTAGAAGACGAGCAGTTAAGCTTATTAAGCCAATTTTAGTGAAAACAGGTCAGTAAAATTACTTCTTAGTAAATTCATGTACGTTAACAAACACCATTATTCAATGAAGGTGTAAGTTTGTTTGTTTTTTATATATCTCGGACACTTTATTTACAAATAGACGTGAATACAAACTGATTTGTTTTCGCACATTGAGGTATCTGAAACAAGACCAAATGTTTACAGAAACAAGTTACTGGTTCGTCTTTTGAAAACTATATCATTTTGTGATTTTTTTTTTATATAACATTTGATCAATTAGTCTCGGTAGTTATTTCTTAAAACTAAGATTAATGGCCACTATAGGTTGAAATTGGATAGAGCCGGGAAATGTTCTTTGAAAAAGTCGAGTTGAAGCTATTTTGGAATAGGTACGGATTCCGGCTGTCTTTTATTCTTTAAACACCAGAATCAGTAGAAATCCTACAGAATTAATAGATGAATATATTCAAAACTGATTGCGTTACTGATAGCTGTCAGCTTTTCCGTAGCAGCATTTTGGTATATAAACATCAGGGGATAAAGAAAATGGATATAAATAATAATATTGGACCATATACTATCATAAACTGATAAACATTAGATTACAGTGCGTATGCTCAAAGTCTGGTGATTATAAGATTCCCTGCGTTACTTTCTTGTTTATTGCACTGCATAAAACAATATGCAATAAATACATTACTAAGCCAGTAACATAACATTCAACAACATAAACTGCACCCGCACCTCTTTATAGAAAATGTATTAGGTGTATAACTTAAGAAAATGCGACATTGAACACGTAAACTTGATTTATCTAAAAAGTACACGACTATTCATAGTGAGTGTGTTGTAGGGCTGAAGGTTTAAAGTCACTCTATGGGACTGTGGCTCAGCTAAGTGACCAGCTGAAGTGATATCGGATGAAATTTCCGCCGCGATGACGTTCGGTCTGCCACATTATATCAGCTCATACTAGGATGGTTTCAGCAATTTTCATGTTTAATTTATTTGAATATGGGAAAATATCTCATTGTTGCTTTAAACCCTTTTTAACATCAAAACATCTTTAGTCATACAATATAACAAAAGTACGGCCTTCGGGAAAAAAAATTCCGTTGTGACGTCACCATCCGTCGGTCGTCTTCTGTTTCCGTTTAGACGAATTTCTGCAGAATTCCAGCCCTGTTAAGAAGAAAAGCGTTTGTGTGTAAGGGTGGGGAAGGTTAAGTGTGTGTGCGTATGTGTGTGTGTGTGTGTGTGTGTGTGTGTGTGTGTGTGTGTGTGTGTGTGTGTGTGTGTGTGTGTGCATATCAAATGTATGTAACTGAATTAGTTTCATCTTGCAGTACAATGATACAGTGACCTAGGCCGTGACATTCAATGCTAGACTTTCAATATTCGACAAATGTTTCGAGTAAACCCGAATCGTGTATCGCGCGGATGAATGAAATAAGTCGCAGGAGGACAGTGTCAATGGAAGGTCATAATGACTCACTTATAAGGTTAATGGATGACCTTTTAGCCCGTCTGGGAGTGGCGACCACCGATCAGAACTTGCCCTGAGCCCCCGTCGGGCCCTCTCGATGCCATCCGAGGCTTCACTGCGCCCGACGGCCCTTCCCCTGGGGTCGTATGAGCGGGCACTTTGGGTCCCCGTGAATGTCTCGTGATAGGCCTTATATACAGAGAGAGAGCTTGCGTGAAGTGTATTGTGATGAGTTACCTAGCAAGATTTAGTATTCTTTTTTTCTTTCTTTTCTTTTTTCGTGATGTCCTACTGAGGTCTCTGTGAGGTTCTTACCTTGATGGCTCTTGACTTCATCGAATTGGATAAACTTTGCTTCCAACACCACATATATCCTTTGGAGTTAAGGCAAAATGAAGCATGATTCATGTTCTTTACACAAGAAAAATGAAAATAATAATAATAAAAGGATAATACAAAGTAATAATAAAAGTATGATAAAAAATCATAATAGTCGCGGCCTTCTGTTGCAGAACCATGAAGTTGTTGCTAGTGGCGGCGCTGCTCGGCCTGGCGGTGCGGGTGAGTCCCCAGTGCATTTCACAGTTCGACGACATGATCCCCCCGAACTTCGCCGACCTCAGCTACATCCTGCCGTTCAGTCTGAGGTTGTTCAAGGAGCTCGTCCCCCACTCGGGCAACTTCCTCATCTCGCCCTACAGTATCTGGAACGCCCTCGTCATGGCCTACTTGGGCACGAACGGCGAGACCAAGACGCAGATGGAGAAGGTCCTGCAGCTGAGTAACAAGGTGGAGACGCTGGCCTTGTACAGGTCCCTCTCGCAACACATTAAGCAGTACGTGTTTTTATTGGTTTTGTATTGTTTATCTGTATTTTGATTTGTTTGTTTTATCTGTATTTTAATTGTAAGGGCTTAGACACGCTCTCTCTCTCTCTCTCTCTCTCTCTCTCTCTCTCTCTCTCTCTCTCTCTCTCTCTCTCTCTCTCTCTCTCTCTCTCTCTCTCTCTCTCTCTCTCTCTCTCTCTCTCTCTCTCTCTCTCTCTCTCTCTCTCTCTCTCTCTCTCTTCTCTCTCTCTCTTCTCTCTCTCTCTCTCTCTCTCTCCTCTCTCTCCTCTTCTCTCACTCTCTCTCTCTCTCTCTCTCTCTCTCTCTCTCTCTCTCTCTCTCTCTCTCTCTCTCTCTCTCTCTCTCTCTCTCTCTCTCTCTCTCATCTCTCTCTCTCTCTCTCTCTCCTCTCTCTCTCTCTCTCTCTCTCTCTCTCTCTCTCTCTCTCTCTCTCTCTCTCTCTCTCTCTCTCTCTCTCTCTCTCTCTCTCTCTCTCTCTCTCTCTCTCTCTCTCTCTCTCTCTCTCTCTCTCACTCTCTCTCTCTCCTCTCTCTCTCTCTCTCTCTCTCTCTCTCTCTCTCTCTCTCTCTCTCTCTCTCTCTCTCTCTCTCTCTCTCCCTCTCCCCTCTCCCTCTCTCTCCCTCTCCTCTCCTCTCTCTCCTCTCCCTCTCTCCCTCTCCCTCTCCCTCTCTCCTCTCTCCTCTCTCTCTCTCCTCTCTCTCTCTCTCTCTCTCTCTCTCTCTCACAACACACACCACACACCACACACACACACACACACACACACACACACACACACACACACACACACACACACACACACACACCTCCACGCTTTCTCCGATCAACACAACACGCATTCTCTCTTCGTAATACAATCCTGATGGAGCTTGTTAGCAAAGAGACTAAGCAACAAGATTAATCACACTAATTATTTTTCATTTCACGCTGGATACGAAGGCAAGGAAGATTTAAATTCCAATAGGGAGAAATGGGGGTGGTTTTACATGATTAAATGTTGTTTTAAGAAATGATGATATTCGTGTTATAAAAAGATACAGCGTTGTTCCAATCTTTAAAGATTTAGACTGATTTTTAAGCTATCTATGACTGAATAAAGAAAACTAATTCTTACTGTTTTCAAAAGAGAATGTAAAATGATTGGTATTAGTTGGCTTAGGACAATAGTTCTTAACAGAGGGTATTCATATCCATTGGGGGTATGTTAACTAATGGGTATGGTACTCGATTTATGAATATTTGTATTCATTTAATCTTTCAATTCATACGTGGCTAGAATATTGGATTATGAAGTAGCCCTGTTATTCCATATAGGTTAGACTTTCATGAACGAAATGAACAGAAAGAACAACTCTTGAACAACTCTTTTTTTTTTTTTTTTTTTCATACATCACTTGTGCTGCCAAGGAAGTAAATTTTCATTTATTCCTCTCTATCAATATTTGTCATAATGAACAATGTTCAGTGCTTGTTTCGTCAAAATTTTAAGATATAGAGTGCAAATTGTAGCATTTGTTTCTGTTATTGTTATCATTATTGGTATAATTATCATCCTTGTTGTTATTATCATTATTGTCACTATCATTATTTTTGTCATTGTTACTGTTATTATTTTAATGATGATGAAAATGATATTAATAACTTATCGTTATCATTATATTATCATTATCATAATTTTTTTATTATTGTTATTATTACTATTATTATCATCATTATCATTATTAATATTATCATTATAAGCTAAGCCCCGCCCATTTGCCACCATTTACTGCAAATATTAACTTGGCTTCTTTTCCCATTCATTTTACTCATTCTGTAAAAACTTGTGATAAAATATCGTAGTGATTGCGGGTGCGAGAAGGGGGCGGAGCTAAATGGTGTCACCGCCAATGAGGACGAGCCAAAAAAGATGCCAGAAAGGGCTAGATGAATAATCATTTGTATAATTTAATTCGCGTTGTTAAAATTAAAAGAGGTTAATACCATTATTATTATTATTATTATTATTACTGTTATTATTAGTATTATCATTTTGTTATCATTATTATGATCATTATCTTCACATCATTATCATTATTATTAGTAGTAGTAGTATTTGTTATTATTTTATTTTATTATTATTATTATTATTATTATTATCATTATTATTATTATTATCATCATCATCATTATCATTACTATCATTATTGCTGTTATCTTTGATAATATATCAAAATCATTAATATCATCATTAACATTAGTATTTATCATCATTATTGTTGGAATCATTAATATTATCACTACAACATTATTAGGATTCCATTTTATTATTTTATTATCACTATATCCAATTATTTCAGCACCATTGTTTTTGTAATCATTAATCATTAACAATTAGCATTAGTCACAATACATTATCTTTCAAATCATTTTTATTATCTATGTTATCGATGTTTCGTCATTGTCATGATCATTATTATTATCAGTAATTATTATCATCGTTATTATCTATTATTATCATTTTTGGTAGTAGTAGTACTGGTTCTAGTAGTAAAATTACTTTTCAGGATATAAATACATCTATTATTATTATCATTATCATAATATTATTATTATTATTATTATCACTTTTGTCACCCTTATTATTGTTGTTGTTGTTATTATTACTATCAATATTATTGTTATTATTATTATCATCACATCATCATCATTATTATTATTATTATCATCATTATCATTATTAGTTATTATTGTTATTACCATTAGTATTTTCATTTTATTATTGTTATTATTAATATTATTATCCGTATTGTTACTCAGTACTATCATGGTGATAATTATTACTGTCAGTATTATTATCTCCATTGTTAATATTATTATCATCCGTGGTTATTAGTATCATCACAATCATCATTAATATTATTATTATCATCATTACCATCATTGATAGTAGTAGTTGTAGTAGTAACAGCAGTACTAGTACATTATTAGTCTTTTATTGTTATCACCATCACCATTATTGTTATTACTATTGCCATTATCATTTTTTATTGTTATTGTCATTATAGTGGATGGATGTTGTTGTTATTATAGATATCATTATCATTGTTATCATTATTGCTATTACCATTATTATTTTTATTTTTTATCATTATTAGTATTAGTATCATTATTATTATTATATTCTTGTTATTATTATCATCATTATGTTTTTTTAGTATCATTAAAATGGAAATGATAATCATCCTTATTGATATTGTAATTACTGATATCATTATTGTCATTATCATTATTCCTATTAGAGAAAAACCCACAATGCACAGATTAGACTCCCAAAAATGGACAACAGTTTCGAAATCCTGCTGTATTTCGAAATTGTTGTCTCATTTTCATAAATTTAGTTTGTGCATTGGGGCTTTTTTATTATAATGTCAATACCGTAGATTTTTTTTTTTTTTTTTTTTTTTTTTTTTTTTTTTTTTTTTTTTTACAACATTCTCATGAATATTTATTAATAATATCACTTCTCTTCCATATGAATATATGTTTGTTATTATCATTATTGTTGTTATTATTTCTGCTATTATTAGTAGTAATATTTTATTATAATTGTTGCTATTATCATTATAATCATGTTACTATTATTATCACTATCATCATCATCGTCATCATTATTATTGTTTTTGTTGTTGCTGTTGACGATAAGGATCATCATGAGGATAATTATAATAATTATATATATAATTTTTGTTATTATGATTATTGTTATTATCATTATTGTTATTTTATTATTATTATTGTGATTATCATTATTGTTATATTCATTATTGTTGCTGTTGTTTCATTATTAGTATCATTGCCATCAATATAAATATGTTTATTATTATCATTATTATCATCATTATATTTATTATTAGTAGTATTATTACTAGTAATAGTATCATTCCTGTTATGAATACCGTTATTATTGTTTTCAACATTATGATTATAATCATTATTATCATCATTACCATTATAATTGTTATTATCATTGTTATTATTATCATTATTATTGTTATTCCTGATATTATTATTATTATTGTTATCATCATCATCATTATTATTATGATTATTATTATTGTTATTATCATTATTATGATTGCTATTATTATCATCATTATCATTATTATGATTGCTATTATTATCATCATTATCACAATTTCTGTTATCATTATTACCATCATCATTATTATCATTATTATTATTATTATTATTATTATTATTATTTTTTTTTATTATTATTATTATCATCATTATCATTATCATTATTTTTATTATTTTTTATATTACTGTTGTCATTGTTACTATTAGTGTTATTATTGTCATATTAATATTTTGATAATCATCATCACTATTATTGATGTTGTTGTCATTGATATCATCATTATCATTATTCTTTAACGCCATCGCTTTTTTTATCATTATTGTTATCATCATCATCATAATTATTATCATTATCATTATTGTTGTTGTTGTCGTTGTAGTAGTTATTACTATTATCACCATTATTATTTACCATTATCATTATTGTTATTAACACCATTATTGTTAATAGTATATTATTATTATCATAAATATTATTGCTCATGTTATTTGTAGTCTCATAATTATTATCATAATCATCATTACTAAGGATATGATGATAAGGATGATTATTATCATTATTATTATAAGTATTTTCATTTTCATCATTAGCACCATTATTATTATTGTGTCTGTTATTATCATCTTAATTTTCATTATTTCCTCCTAATCATATTGTTATTGTTGCTTTTGTTATAAGTGTTGTTGTTCCGATTATTATTATTATATTTTTTTATTCTTATTATTAATGTTTTTTTGATATTTCATTTTATTATGATCTGTTATAATTCTCAATGTTGTTGTTGCTAATATTATTGTTACTACCATTATCATTATTATTATTATTATCATGATTATTATTATCATTATTATTTTTATTATTATTATTATCATTATTATTGTTATTATTATCATTACCATTGTTATTGGTTTGTTATTGTAATAATCATTATTATTATCATCATTATCTTTTTCTTTAGCATTATCATTATCATTTTCATTTTTGTTATCGATATTATCATTATCATTATTATTATTGTTATCATTATCATTATTATTATTATTATCATCATCAACATCCAATACCATATCATTATCATCATCATCATCAGCAGCAGCATTATTATCATTATCATTACAATGATAACATCATATTATTGTTATTGCTATTATTACTATTATTATTATCATCATTATGATAATTGTTATAATTATTATTGTTGTTGTTATTATCATTATTCTTATTATCATTATCATTATCATCATTATTATCACTGTTATTATTATTATTATTACTATTATCATTATTCTTATTATCATTATTATTATTATTATTATTATTATTATTATTATTATTATTATAAGCAGCATTATAACTGTTAATATCATCATCATCATCATTATTACTGTAATTATTTTATCAATGACAATATTAACATTATTAATATTATTGTTATCAATGTTGTTATTTTTATCATATTATTTTTGTTATTATCATTATCATTATTCTTATTCCTATTCTTATCACTATTGTTATTATTATTACTTTTCCTCATCATTATCATCATCATTTTTGTTATTACTATTATCACTTTTTTGTTATCATTGTTTACATTGTTATTGTTATTATCACAATTGCAATTATCGTATTTAATATCATTATTGTTATCGTTAGTGTTAGTATTATTATTATATTATTATATATATTATATCATTGTTACCATAATGGTCCCTGTATAAATATTATAATTTTGTTATAATTACTACTAATTCATCAATAACTAATGATTATTTTATTATCATTATTATTATTATTATTATTATTATGATGATATGATTATTTTTAATCATCACTATCATTTTTGTTATATCATGTTATCATTATTATTGCAATCATATATGATTGTTGTTGTATGGCAATATTATAACAATAATGATAATAATAATGATAATAATAACAATTATCTATGGCATTTTCATTATTGTTATCATTATTATTGTTCCTATTATCATTATTATTTTTCATTATCATTATTATCATTATGATTATTGTTATTATTATTAGCATTATTATCATTGTTAATATTGTTGATGTTGTTTTTTTATTGTTAACGCTATTATTATTATTATTATTATTATTATTATTATTATTATTATCATTATTATTATAACAATAATTATTATTGTTATTATCATCATCATCATTATAAGTAATTAATATTATCAGCAGTATTATCCTTTTTTTATAAATATGTATAAGAGTATCATCATCTTTAATATCACAATCATTTTCTATGCTTTTATTATTATTATTATCATTTTCTGTTCCAGTTTTCATTAATACCTTCACATAACCATGATCATTTTATTGTTGTTGTTGTTATCAAATGATATTGTCTCTTATTTTTCTTGTGACTATATATAATGACAATGATAATAATGAAAATAGTAATAATGATTATTATTATGATAATGATAATGATATTAATAATAATCATAATAATGATAATAATAAGAATAATGATAAAAATGATGATAATAAAGATAATGATAATGATAATAATGATAATAATAAAGATAATGATAATGATGATAATAATAACAGTGGTTACAATGATAATAACAATAAGAATAAGAACAATAATAATGATAATGATGATAATGGTTATGATAATGATAATAATCCTAATTATGAGGGTACTGATGGTGATCAAGATAGTGATAATGATAATAATGATAGGAGCTGATAATGATAATGATAACAATAATAATCATAACGATAATGTTAGTAATTATGATGATAATAGTGATGATAGTAATGATAATAAT